ATGGTTTGAAGAAAAAATTTCAGACAAAAAAGGTAGAAAAACACATGTGAGAAATCTTATTTGTAGAAATACCAAGACTTACCTTGAATTTGTACTTGGCCCACTCAGGTTTTCTTCAAAGCCTGTCCTTCTCCTCCAATTATATCTCCACTCCCCCACATCCCAGCTCACCTCCAGAAAATCCCTCTAGGGATGTTATTTCTATTAATTTCTCCCACAATGTAATCATGGATGCCTGAGCATTCAACCGCCAGGCCCTATCTCTTTCACATGAAGACAGCCTTGCATAAGCTTCATTCCAGCTCAACCTAGAATGTAAACAAGACTTCTTTTCCGGGTATATGAAAGGTAGGAGTCAGCAGTGGATGGGTGGTGGGGGAGGGGTCTATGAAGTAAACCTGTTATTTTACTCATTCAGGGCAAATTTGCTTTACAGGAGTTATAAAATAAATGGTAATAACAAACACCAATAAAGTGTAGTTTTATTAAAATATTTAATTTGTTACAATATGACTAAACTGTGCTATGAAAAAGTCCATCCGATAGAAAAGGGAATTGCAATGTAATCATTGGGGCCAAAAAAATGAAAGAAGCATTGTATATACATCTACAATAAAAGATAATAAAGAAAGAAATGTGTATTGATTATATACAATAAAGCATGGCTCATTTTTACTATTTACAATATTTTACAACTCTTTCATTTAGCTCACTTACACTTAATATATATTACAAAAAGGCATGTATGGGACACAAAGAAAAAGAGAAGTTGGAATCCGAAAGTCTGTATATACTTTTTTCAACTTGAGTTATTTTTAGAACATATTATTTATTGTGCTTTTTTTGTACTTTTTATTTTTTTTTAAGATGGCAATACACCGACTAATACTAATGGCTTTGTTAAACAATGAACGAATAGAAAAGTTTCTAGGAATGTATCTTTTGCCTATTCAGTAATTGGAGCATAGAAATAAACTAGCATTTGTGTCAAACAACGGTAGTACCTATTGCTTTCATCTTTCTCTACAACGTCTGTACCCACCATGACATAAGGGGTACGGTGTGGTCTCACTAGTAGGAATAGGGAGAGGAGGCCATATCTAAAGCTTTGGCACGTGACTGGAATATCACATTACATTTCATAGGTGCAAGAATTAATAACTATCCTACAGAAGCTCCTTGCTGTCATAATAGAAAAATACATACAGTAGGTGTGAGCAGTTACATGATGAGGGTCTTTCGCACTTACCCCTTGCACAAAATTAGGCTTTAACTGCAGCCTTTTAAAGCAACTGGAACCGTCTGTAAGCATTACAACAATGAAGAAAGTATAGGACATTAACATTTCTGAAAGAGCAGTTTGTGCTACCAAGACTAATCCTTTAGACTCTTTATTTCATCCTTCTACAACAAATGTCTGTTTGGCTGGTAGGTTGTGTTTAAAAACTTTCTAGGCTGAAAGCAAAATAATTAGCAAAATTAGCCATTTGTCTGGCCATTCATATGTTTTTTTTGTACAACAGAATAAAATAAATTTAAATGAGACTGGCAGTCTATATGAAAGATTACTATTTACTAAGCATACAAATATGTATAGGAAGAGATATTGGTGGTAGTATTTGTTGACTTTGACTTTGTCATCACTTCTTTTTAAGCCTGCCTAATACTGTGGATGTGCAAATTAAGACAGAGGTGGAAGGCACAAACCTTTTTCTAGCAATTGGGCACAGCAGTATTTCCTTGCATAGCTTATACAAAAACTCCTTTGTATTTGACTGATTATATATTTTTCTAATATATGTCTAAAAAACTTTTCTTCAGTCTGAACTCTTTTTATGCACCTCAAAACATGCAGGTCTAAATAAAGTTTAATAACACATTTTTCAAGATGAATCACTGCTATTTCCTTAGACAATCAGGTCTCTTTATGAAATAATAAAAGAGTTAGGTAGTTAAAATACACTCCATTTGAAAATACTTACAGGTATACAGTATATGTTCCTTCTCAGAAGTCCATGTGGCCATAAGGCCTGTGGACTGTTGGGGGTGCAGGACTAGAGCTGGATTTTATCCAGCCTTCTTCCCTGAGTATTTAAAGCCTAATTCAAGGTTTTAAGGAACTTTAGTTTATTCAGATGAAGTTGGTCCAAACAAACTTTTCCCTTCATTACACATACAGTGGCTATGTGCACTGTATAAACTGTATTTTGCATAAGCTCCACATAGTATACAGCGCTGTATTCAGGCAACAAGACAGGAACTTCCCGTCTGACTCTCAGAACAAAATCTAATCAGGCTGAGTGCTGCTCAGTCATTCACAGGAGGCTTTATAAATTTATATATAAATACAGGGCTTCCTCTGATTGGCTAAGGTGGAGATTGTGATGTCATCTCTCTGCCCCTCCACCTCAGCCAATCTAAGGAAGCCTTGTATTCATACATTAAATACAAAGCCTGCAGTGAATGGCTGAGCAGCCATTCCAGTGCAGGACAGATAGTTTCGCCCCTGCTGCTCACAGTTTATACAGCGTATACAGCTGCTGAATGTGATAGTGAAAGAAACAGTTTGTTTGAACCAGTTGCTCCAACCAATTTATTTAGAGTTCACGTTAATCTGGAATTAGGCTTTAATGGTCATATTGCCTGTGTCTTAACATTGTAGAGTGTATAAACTGTGCTCCTGCCCACTTCCAGGTGTCCAAATTTTAGGAGTTGAAGGATAACAAAGATAATCAATATACAACTGTAAAGATTGGGAGATTTTTACAAATATCTCGGACTTGGTACCGAATATAACCACTAAAAATGATAAACCCAGCCCCCATTCACAACTGAGCATTTTTCAGCTTGTTTCCCTATGCCTGACTATGCTCAACATACAGAAACCTATTTGTTCTAATTGTCCCTGTTCACACTTGAACCCTCAGTCACCCTACACTCGATGCTCAAAAAAGTACATGAACTTTTTGAGCGTATTCAGGCATTTATGCTCCTACAGACTTCCAATAGTTGCGCCTATAACAGCATGATACTCATGTTTGCACTTGTTTTTGTTTTATGCCTGAAAAACTCTGCTCCTCCTCTAGAACTGATCTCTTCCCCTTGCCCTGCCCAACCCAGGAAACACTCGAGGTTTGATACACATGCAAAAACACTTGCACAAAGCTTGCTAAATGCTTGTAAAACACCTGAAAAATGCTTCAAAATCATTAGAAATACTCTCTGCATAGATACACAAAAACATTAAAAACAAAAATGAAAGAAACTGGGGTCTGCTTACTAAATGATTAGGACATGTTCACAATCGTATTCTCACTATGCAAAGGGAATGTACCAGTAAAAATCCTGATTTTAATTTCTCTTGCACATAATTGGGTGTTTAAAGGGAATACAGCTTCACTTTATTTACTAAGTGAACAGCCTCTACTCTACTACTGAATCAAACTCATTGGTTATAGGACATAGGTAGGCATTGCCTTATCTACCTTGAGGCAAGATAAGTATTTTGTCTCAGGTGGTATTCTCTAGCAATAGCATAAGGTAAGCATTCTAACTGTGCTTCCATGACCTTCTGCCAACGTGGCATAGATATAGAAACTTATATTACTGCCTATAATACTGGCACTATTGGTGACTGGCTGATCTAGTTTTCTCTTATCCATGCAGATTAATAGAGGATTAAGCCATCCCTTTGGGTCCATTCAAGTTTGGACTAGATCTTAAGCCTTGCTGAAGGGGTAATGTTCTGGCCCCCAAAACAAGTTGGATGTTTAATGTGAAAAACCGTCCTTCTACAACAAATTACAGCAGTCTGGACTCTTACATTTTGGTTTGGCACGCCTTCTGTGGTTTTATGGTTTAAGCAACATTCTAGGTACCCAATGGTCCTGTTTTATGCAAGTTGAGTACCCAGAGCCAGTGAGCTCCCTGACTGAATACTTCCCTTTCACTGCTTTGTAAAAATAAGTGTTCAGGTCCCAGCACCTACTAAAATGGGTCTTTTTGGTACCAGAACAACATTACGTGGATTACAGAACCTGACTATATAAGTAGATACAGCATCAATAAAAAAAGAGTCTATCTTTATAATCAGAAGGGTCTATCTTTATAATCAGAAGGGTCTATCTTCATAGCAGGTGTGGTACACTGCTGAATATAGAGTGGCATTTATTGTGACCATTAGAACACTTATGCAGGTAGGAAGTGCTCTAGAAATGTTACACAAGCACACATGTTGTTCACTGGTAGTGCTAGGTCCTTTGCATCTCCATAGAGGTCTATTTATGCAGTTGGAAGAGCATGCACAGCCAAATGGCTAATGTCCTAAATCATATGGCAGCTGTACCTTCCAACACATCTGATAATTCTATCAAAAAAAAGAGATAATAGCTGGAGTTAGTGTTATATCCGTTGTCATATTAAGCCATTAGTTTCTTTCCTACTAGAGAACAATTACTGGTACAGTGATATAATAGTGTTTAATTTACGAATAGAACATGTAACATTCAGCATTCATTCCGCTTCCTAAAACAGGCAAAGCACTGCTTACCCAATGTTTTGTCTTTTAATACTAAACAGTTGTCAGTATAATAAAATGCGAAAAGAACTTCTAATATGTTTTTAGGTACACTTGTCAATGCAAAGTCCAATTCCTTAAATTCTGTGATCTATTATTAAAGTCATCTAACAATTCTATCACTTCTAGAAGCATACAAAATTATGAAGAGTCTCTTAAGTTTGCATCTGGTAAATACTTTTCTAGCTCTTTACTTGTGGCCATCATAAAAAATATTTGCATTTTTTTAAAAATTCGTATTATTTACAAGGTTTGCTTCAATTTTAATAATAATAATAAAAATAATAATAATTATATTCATACAAAAGGCATCGCCCCCACCTTTTCAGTTATACTTCAGAAAGGGGTGGGTTCCCAGACAAGGGAAGAAGGTGCAAAAAAGAAAAATAGACTAGCCCCAGTGCTGAGAGAGTTAATGAAAGACCTAGCACTGCAACTTGCGGATGCTGCGAGAGATCCTTTTAAACTCCCTTTGGCCTTTCTGCCACCGCTTGACTGAGGTGATGACCAGCTCCCCTCCGAGCTTTTGTCCCATCACTAAATAGGGAGCATTAATGTCATTCATCTCATCACAGGTACACTGCAGGCCATCTTTAAGCCACAGCACGGTCTTCTTCAAATCCCTTTCTGTCACCCCATTCAGTTTGTAAATGGTTTTGCTCTTTGTCTCCGGGATGATCTTAGTGTCCCCATTGATGTAGGCGATCTCCTTCACTTTTATCTTCAGGGCTGGTGGAGGCAAAAAGAGGGGGAGGCAAAGGAGAGAGAATGGTGAGAAAAAGGCTGACACAGGCACATTAGAACTCAGAAAGAGCCAGTCTGGGGTGGGTTGTGTTGCTAATGAAACTGTCAGGCTTTGACACAATTACAGCAGGTGGCTCCATTTTTTACACCACAAAGGGCATCAAAGTCATTTATGTCAAACCCCTAATTCTTAACCCCTACAGTGCCTAACAACAACTGCACAGCTGAATGTACTGTTCTCTAAAAGGGATCAACATATCTCCATAAGAAAGGTTAATGAGTGTAGATATATAAACATTTGCTTTCTTTACGCATAGATTATATGGGGAAGTATAACTTTTGCAATCTGGGGGGCAGCCTGGGGCCCATAGTTCTGAAAAAGTCCCGGATCTTTAAACATTCAAAATCAGTTGCCTGATAGAAGAAGAAAAATAAGGGTGAACTGAAGGGCTTGGAGTGTTTTCCTAGAAGCTTCAGCAGACTCTCCTATTTTTTATGCCATATAAGACGTGGCAAATGTAAGTAAGTGAATAAAGCCAGGTCTTTGGTTGTTTCAGTAGATACAAGGAATACATCAAATAGAGATTATATTCAGGGTGCAGGACCATGGTTGCAGTTAAATAAATCACGCAATTTTACATTACTTATTTCATTATCACTTTCTGTTCCACTGAAAAAAAAAAAAATTATATATTATATATATATATATATATATATATATATATATATATACACACACAAATGCAATATATGCTATTTTGTAATTTAAATTAAACTGCCATTTTATAATTTATTATAATAAAATTTACCTTTCCAATATGTAGGTGTTATGATTTTATAAATCTGACAAAAAATAAATTATTGCTCTTTTCAATATGACTACCCTGGGGAAGGTGGGGGTGGGTGAGGTGTCAGACTATTTTTGTGAAGAATACTTTTAGAGAAATTTGCAAAACAACTGCATATGTGATTGTCTTACATTCTTGCACCCTCCACCCCCCACCCCACCCTGGAAGTCTTCACAGTACTGGAATTTAAATTACAGTAATCCTCTACAACAGGACTTTTCATTTTTTATCTCTCTTTTAAGACCCTTCAGAGCTAATGTGTCACATATGTTGCTCCTTTTCCTATGGGACACTTACAGTAGGTTACTCAGGTGATGATAATAAAGGGAGACCATGTTACTCAGTACACAGTTTGAAAAAGACAATACTAAACCAAACATTACTGGGCTTGTTCTTTTATATTTAGGTCCATCGTCTTCTTCTCCATGAAGGTAATGAAATTAAAGAGATTTTCTGAGTATTTCAATTCCTCTAAGTGTTTCGAAGAACACAGATATTGTAATATAATATGTTATTTAGTTTTTTGGAAGAAGATTTTGTTTCTGAAAACATATTTCTGGAAACTCCATACGAGCAAATTTACAGAATTGATTAGTCTGTTTCCATTCTCCTTATCTAAATGTTGGAGCCACAGAGTAAGAATGATTTACACTGTGCTCAGTGCGTGTGTAATTACCAGCATGGCTTTCATTACTTTATAGAATATTTTGGCCGAAGTATAAAAACTGAAGGAGTAAGTAACTAAAGGGCTGCCTGTGCTAAGTAACCAGAGTACAGCCCATTACAAAAATTACAACTCAATTGGTTGCTATGGGCAAAAAGTTTCCTTTGTAATTAATTAAAAAAGATTAAAAAAAAGAAAAAATAAAGAATACTTCAAAAAGAAAAAAAAATCATAGCTAATCTGCTTAGTGAATCAGAAATAATGCCAATAAGCCATTCTACTATAGCCCATCACTATTGATACAAGCAATAAGATGTCCCAAGGTTTCCAGAAAGTTTTATGAAGTTTTGTGCTACCTGTCTTATTTCCCTATTATTTTACAATCACAGCACTAGTCACTAGTTTTAGTGGATACCTCAAGGGCCTGGGGTACTGTTGTCCAATTTCAAGGGCACCTGGGGAGCCTAAAAAACTTCAGGTTCCAAAATGCATTACTTTTGCCTGGCCCCATACTTCACTTTCAGTTAGTGGGATCACCCATCATAGTGATGCCCAATAGTGGTATGTACATTTTTAGGGTTTATGTTTAGCTTTAATGGTTCACTTTGGTGTTAAGGTAAGGGTTAAATGTTAGGTTATAGGTTAGTGGTAAAAGTAGAACTCCAGGCAGATATAAAAGGCAGTTTTTAAATGAAAGCATATGAAATTGATTAGGTATTGGTCCCTTGCTGTCTACTGTACAGGAGAGCTTGTTGGTGGTGGGTAGAGGGGGTTCAAGGAGCCATACTGATAGGAAGAGAGGACAGAGTGAAAGACAGATGATCAGTTCTCCAACTAAGCAGTTCCTTTTTTATTGACAGTGATATCATAACAGTTTCTAATGTGTTTTGGGGGCTAAAAATCACTTTTGATCAGGACTGAAATTTGATTGCTGAGGCTCCTAATATGGAATGTTTTAAAATATCCCGAAGAAGAATTTCATTGCTGGAAATGGAAGCATGCAGAGCTCCAGGGCTGTGTGATGTCAACCCACTGGCTAAACTTGTGACATTACTGTTAAGAATAAAGGTTATATGGACTTCTGAATTGATAATTTGGTGCTTTTTCTGCTGTTTGTGTAATCTTCCCAAGCTGGGTGTCTGATTTCCGGAGGGCAATTCTCCCTCTTTGTGTCTTCTGAGCAGCCTAGATCCATTGAACAAGAACCAATACCAATGTGCTTTTGAAGAAAGCTCAGCACCAAGTCCAGCACCATTATATTTATTTTATTTTCTCCAGTAACGGGATGGGTGCCTGTAAGTGATAGTGGAGGAGCAGCAGAGAAAGATCAGGTTCCTTTCTGTGTGGCCGAGCCTGTGTAAATCCCAGGACTGGGTGGACAGACATACAGTACAAATCCTTAAGCAAGTAAACCAGCTCCATTATATGTATTTAATTGGTATATTTAGCTGTTTTCCTGGAGATTAGCTTTGAGTCTGAGGGTCAGATCCTAATATAAAAAGTACCTTATGCTGGAAAACAACACTTCCTGGGAGAGGAATATGAATATGACTATATTTTGTGACATCCAATGCTGCCATTGTTGCCTCATTATAGAATTGTAGCATCGTGTTAACTTTGGAACAAATGCTCAGTTTACGGGCTGAAGTGCATTCCATTGAGTCGTACTACAAATTCCCAGAGGAAGCAACACAACGAAAACATTTGTAGAATGGGCTGAGGTCCTGTCTGCAAGTTTTATACCATCACCACATTGTAATGACTTTGGAAATAGAATTGTCTGGGTATTTTAAATTAGCCAGGCGCTGTCAGCCTCCTTGGTATGTGTTTTCTGTATTAAAGTGCCAGCTTGTTTTCATTTGTCAGGATTAATATCCCGTACAGGCAAGGCCATGCTGTTTCATACAAGTACTACAATTGTATATAAGTTATGACTGTGCTATAACTGGGCTATAGACTTATTCTATCATTCACGTCTAACTAATCAACATCTAACATCATCAATCAAGTCTAAAGCCATAATGTTAGGGCTGTTTTTCTAGGGGTCCCGAAGTTACCCCCTACTTAAAATAGTAGCTGTATGATTTATGTTAGCAATAGCTTTTGTTTCCTGTTTTACAGGGCATAGTGGAAAGCTTGTTTATAAAATAATCCAACTCCATGTCAGCTCAGGTCTACATTCTAATTGCACGTCACACTACCTGTACCCAAACAAGCCGCCCTGTCTGTCAATCAAGTTACAATAACAAATGATTCTACCAACTGAGAAAAATGTCTTGCTTTCTTTGGAGGGCTGCTCACTTTGTATTTGGACCACCTAATCCAAAAGAGATTTATCTCTTTTTCAGAATTTGGAAAAACTATTTTTTAAAAGTTTACAATGCGACTTAACGACATCAAAGAGTTAGTAGGAAAATGAAATCAGATTGATTTGCTGTGCATTTTGTATTGCTGTTATGTTTGCCCAATTATTCCCTTAAGAGCCAAAGTTTGATATTAGACAGCAAACTATCCTTTAGGCTCATTATAAGCATAAAGCTAAACATACACATAAAAATAAATCCATAGATTAATGCTAAACAGAGTAGATGAACGAATATCCTGCTGCTGGCTATGGTATTTTGACAGCTGGCACTCGTGGCTGCCAGAATACCGGAACAGTTACTGCAGCTGATTGGCTGCAGTCTCTGTTTGGCTGACTTTTTTTCTGTCTGGCTCCTTTGAATTCTCAATCAAAATTTGTTCAAGCTGTGTATGGCCAGCTTAGGAGCTAGCCAGCTGTCAGACAGTCTTCATTACCCCTATCAGATGATCATGCTTATATGTTCTGTAAAAGCCCCTGTTTCCATTCCCATCACAGGCAATCTTCCAAATTCCCATCGCACACGTTCCTGGAATGGGCTCTAAAATGATGGGTGTTGCAGCAGCCTCTAGCTGGGAACTGGAATTTGCATAGTCAGGTGTAGATATTTGCCAACATACCCCAGATCTTCAAATTAAGTTATGGAAAGTTGAGGTGTCTAGGATTCACTGTAAAAGATGCATATATTAGCTGAGCTCTCTATCTAAGAAGGTTATCAAACATGTTCCCTATTGTTCCCTGTGATGGGGATGGTGAAGATATTTGTCAACACACCACAGATCTTCATATTAAGTCCAAATAGATTTTTTGAAGAATGATCACATCAAGAACAAGAAAGTGCAATGTTTTGGAGCCACACAGGACCCCTTAGTCAGGCACATGATCATCACATGCCTGACAAAGGGGTCCTGCAATGCTTCAAAACATTGCACTTTCTTGTTCTTGATGTTTTATTTCTTCAATAAAATCAGTTTGTACTTAATTTGAAGATCTGTGGTGTGCTTCCAGATACCTACACTATTCTCATCACAAAGAACAATAGGGAACATATTTGATAAACTTGTCAGATAGAGAGCTCAGCTAATATATGCATCTTTTACAGTGAATTCTAGACACCTCAACCTGTCATAACAGGAGTTAATTCAAACAGGTCATCCAATGTATGTCGACATATCTAAAGAAGAACGAAATACATCTAATCCAGTAACATAATATAAAACCAATACCATTTAGAAAAAAAAATACTTATTGGCTCCCCATACCACCTGCAATCAGGCATTTATAGCAGAATTTAAAAAATGAGGCACACTGGGGTTTACTTACTAAAGCTGGATAGTGCAAAATGAGGTGCACTTCTGCATAGAAACCAATCAGCTTCCAGGTTTTATTGCCAAAGCTTAATTGAACAAACTGAGGTTAGAAGCTGATTGGCTACCATGCACAGCTGCACCAGATTTTGAGTGCACTTCTGCATAGAAACCAATCAGCTTCCAGGTTTTATTGCCAAAGCTTACCTGAACAAGCTGAGGTTAGAAGCTGATTGGCTGCCATGCACAGCTGCAGCAGATTTTGAGTGCACTTCTGCATAGAAACCAATCAGCTTCCAGGTTTTATTGCCAAAGCTTAACTGAACAGGCTGAGGTTAGAAGCTGATTGGCTGCCATGCACAGCTGCAGCAGATTTTGAGTGCACTTCTTCATAGAAACCAATCAGCTTCCAGGTTTTATTGCCAAAGCTTAATTGAACAAACTGAGGTTAGAAGCTGATTGGCTACCATGCACAGTTGCACCAGATTTTGAGTGTACTTCTGCATAGAAACCAATCAGCTTCCAGGTTTTATTGCCAAAGCTTAACTGAACAACCTGAAGTTAGAAGCTGATTGGCTACCATGCACAGCTGCGCCAGATTTTGAGTGAACCAATTTTAGTAAATCTACCCAATGTGTAGCCATTTATAGCTGCCACTGATGGGAGGCAAGAAAAGCCATCACAAGACTTTCATTGACCCCCAAAAAGCTAACTGTCCATATGCCTTAGAAACCCTTAATTTAGAACCCAATACAGCTCCTCCATAAAAACCTAAATGCCTTTGTTAGGATTGAAGAACCTAAATGAAAAATGAACACTTTATTTTAAAGAGAACCTGTTTCAGATTTCACCTTAAATAATCTAGTCCATTATCCACATTTATTTCTTGCAACATCTAAAACATCTTTTAATATGCAAAAACACATATTGCACTTTTTCTTACCAAAATCATTTTTGCAGAGGTTCTCCACAATGTCATTGTCATCCTCATTGCTGCTTTTACAGGCGTCACATACTTTAGGTGCTAAAGAGAACAGAACAAGTTTTAGGAAGGCTGCCTTATGCTTACTGGACAGCAGGAGGCGCTAAGTAGCAACATGCTTTATTAAACATAATCACATCTTTTCAAACATGACTCAGATACAAACTTGACCTAAACTCAAAACATAATGTGTTACTTTATCCCAGGAAGACATTTTCCTTGAGTGCTGCTAACGTTTTTTTTTTTATAACATCCCATGGAAGAAGGGACACCTATATAAACTCACCCATTCTCATCATCTGCATTTTGTAACATCTGATCAGCAGTAATGGCTGTCAGGCAGAGCTAGTATCTTGGCACACAAGAGCAGACTGCTAATGGTGTTTGCTTTAAAATGTGTCTGCAGCCAAAAGCTTTTTTTTTAGTTTTGGATAGAGGGGAGAGGGGTAAGCATCCTCATCAGGTTTATATAGTTGACTGTGTCCCTGCTGCAGAGATTTACCCTCTCAATTTGCCATATTCACCATTGTCAACGAGACTTAAAGTAAAGAATAACTAAATAAAGTTTTCAGTAATACAGGAATAGAGGGAAAATCGTCCTCGTCCAATGGGGTCACTTGTTCCAGTAATAGCTATCTAAAAGGTTATTTGGTATGTCCTGTTGGGTCTATAGGACAAGAGGTGATGGAAGGCTCCTCATTGGAACACAAATGGCAAAAAAAAAAAAATGTTATCAGTAAAACAAGAAAAGAGGGAAAATCATCTTATGGGGTCACTTATTCCAGTGATAGCTGTGCAAAAGGGGATTTTTAATGTCCTGTTGGGTCTATAGGACAAGAGGTGATGGAAGGCTCCTCATTGGAACACAAATGGCAAAAAAAGTAAAGCTGCCAGTAAAACAGGAATAGAGGGAAAATGGTCCTATGGGGTCACTTGTTCCAGTGATAGCTATCTAAAAGGGAATTTATTATGTCCTGTTGGGTCTATAGGACAGAAGGCAATGGAAAGTTCCCCATTAGGACACAAATAACAAAAAAAGCAAAGCTGCCAGTAAAACAGGAATAGAGGGAAAATTGTCCTATGGGGTCACTTGTTTCAGTGTTAGCTGCCTAAAAGGGGATTTGCAATGTCCTGTTGGGTCTAAAGGACAGGAGGTGATGGAAGGCTCCCCGCTGGGACACAAATGGCAAAAAAGTAAAGCTGCCAGGAAAACAGGAATAGAAGGAAAATAGTCCAATTGGGTCACTTGTTCCAGTGCTAGCTGTCTAAAAAGGGGATTTGTTATGTCCTGTTGGGGCTATAGGACAGGAGGTGATGGAATGTTCCCCATTAGGACACAAATGGCAAAATACATACCTACATACATAAATACATAAATAAATAAAGTTGCCAGTAAAACAGGAATATAGGAAAAAATCAACCTATGGGGTCATGTGTTCCACTGCTAACTGTCTAAAAGGGGATTTGTAATGTCCTGTTGGGTCTATAGGACAGGAGGTGATGGAAGGTTCCCCAATGGGACACAAATGTCAAAAAAACCCTAATCATTTGCTTTGTAGGGTTTTAATTCTACTTTATAAAAAAAAAAGTTTGGGCTCTAGATATACATTGAGAATAGCATTTTTAGCCATCCACTGGTTGGTCTTCAAGGTTTATTGGATGCATATGAAATAAATTAAAATTGCACCCATTAAGGTCACTGAAGAGGCACATGCTGCTCCACGCCAGTAAAGTTTGTCTTGCATCTTGTCCAGTCTGTGCAGTAAATAGGAGGTAGGACAATTTAAAAGCATACTTAACTCGCAGCAAAAGATTGCATGTTGCCTTGTTAATTTGGAAAAGAGGACAGCAGAATGTAGTCAGGTCCAGATTTTATAGTAACCAGATGGGGGACATCTTTATGTCGATGTTTTATAGTGCTAATGGGGGTTACAGGGCTGCTCCAGTGAATGCAGGCATGTCCAGAATTGTCTGCTCTGCTTTTCTGTCTATATAATGATCTAGGCTACATCTACATATCTGTTTTTTTTTTTTAATAATTGTGCATTGTTTTCATGAGCATCGGTGTTGTAGTGCTTTCTTTGATGTTTTAATGAAAATTTTAATTAATGAAAAATAAAATTTTAATTTTTACCAAGAATTAGCATAAAAATATATTAGTAAAAGCCAAAATCCAAGGTGTACCGAACTGATTATTCTTAGCTACACCACAGGATTGTTATCTGATAACCTTTGCCTAGATCATAAATGATTACTATACAGATTTTATATAGTGCCAGCAGAGTGCGCAGCACTTCATAAAGTACAGGGGACAGTACAGTTACAAAGCACTTCTTAAAAGCAGTGTGTAATGATAAATGCTTGTGTAGAATGATTTCCTTGCGTTTTAAAGTGCACTTAAACTGCATTTTTGTGGATTTCATGTTACTTAATGTAGTGTGGGTGACAGTCCTGAGGCTACATTTGACCCATTTTCATTTTTTTTGGGATGCAACAGGTACTACTGGGATCTGTTGGCAGGCAAAGTATATCAAACCCAATGTTTTGCATTCAAACACATGCATTTTAGTAGTGTGTCGGAATGCAAAATGCACCCATTTGCATGAGCTGTTAGGATGACCATACACTATTCAATGTGATTGTACAATCACTTTTAGATCTACCATCAACTATGTTGTGCAGGAGTTTGCCTGATTTGATACTAATTACAAAGATTGATTAGGTTTGTCCTTAGGTTACATAGTTTTGGTAACTCCAAAGCAAGGTGTACAGGGATTGTACAGTCAGGTTGAATAGTGTATGGCCAGCCTTAGATACACATATAGAATGGCATATAGAATGGTTCCCTCTTGCTGTAAGCTGCTACATGTACTACATAACCATCAATACTGCAACAATACTTCATTACATAGCTGCCAACATTTTAAAAATCTCCAGAGAGACCTGAATGCTGATCTAATCAGGGCACTGCCAGCCATTCTCAACCAGGGTTCCTCCAGAGGTTGCTAAAGGTTCTTTAATATGTGGCTGCTTTACCACCCATTTGATAGTGCCTGTCTGCATGACAAAGATCTTTTTATCTGTCTGTAAGGGGGCATCCTTCCTACACACCACCAATGTAAGGGGCCCTTCTTTCCACTTACCGCCAATGTTAGGGGCATTTTTCTCACTGACCACCAATGTACGGGGTCCACTTCCCACTGACCCCTAATGTAAGGTGAGCATTCTTCCAACTGACCTACAATTGTAAGGGGGCAATTTTTCCCACTGACCACCAATGTAAAGATGTCCTTCTTCCCACTGACTTCCAATGCAAGGGTGTATTTTTCCCTTTAGACCATTAATGTAAGGTTGACATTCTTCCCAATGTTCTCCAGTGTCAGGCAGGCAATTGTTCCCACTGACTACTAATGTAAGTGTTTATTCTTCCCGATGACAACCAATGTAAGGGGAGCATTCTTCCCACTGATCTCCAAAGTAAGACAGGCAAGTGTTCCCACTGACCACCAATATAAGGGTGTAGTCTTTCCACTGACCACCAATGTAATGGGGTATTCGTACCACTGACCACCAAGGTAAGAGTGTACTCTTTCCACTAATCACCAATGACAGGGTGTATTTTTCCACTGACCACCAATGTAAGTGTTACATTGTTCCCACTGACCGCCAATGTAAAGGTGTATTTCTTTCCACTGACCACTAATGCAAGGGTGGCATTCTTCCCACTGACCCCCTAATGCAAAGGAGGCTTTCTTCCAACTGAGCACCAATGTAAAGGAGGCATTCTTCCTACTGACCACTAATGTAAGGGTGTATTTCTTTCCACTGACCACTAATGTAAGGGTGGCATTCCTCCCACTGACCCCCTATTGCAAAGGAGGCATTCTTCCCACTGAGCCTCAATGTTAAGGAGGAATTTTTCCCACTGACCACCAATGTAAAGGAGGCATTCTTCCCACTGACCACCAATGTAAAGGGGGCATTCTTCCTACTAACCACCAATGTAGAGAGGGCTTTCTTCCCACTTCCCAACAATGTAATTGGGCATTCTTCCCACTGACCATCAATGTAACGGGGGCATTCTTCCCACTGACCATCAATGTAACGGGGGCATTCTTCCCACTGACCATCAATGTAACGGGGGCATTCTTCCCACTGACCACCAATGTAAAGAGGGCATTCTTCCCACTATCCATCAATGTAAAGGGGGCATTCTTCCCACTGACCACCAATGTAACGGGGGCATTCTTCCCACTGACCATCAATGTAACGGGGGCATTCTTCCCACTGACCACCAATGTAACAAGGGCATTCTTCCCACTGACCACCAATGTAATGGGGGCATTCCTCCCACTCTCCACCAATGTAAATGGGTCATTCTTCCTACTAACCACCAATGCAGAGAGGGCTTTCTTCCCACTTCCCAACAATGTAAAGGGGGCATTCTTTCCACTGACCACCAATGTAAAGGGGGCATTCTTCCCACTGACCATCAATGTAAAGGGGGCATTCTTCCCACTGACCACCAATGTAAAGGGGGCATTTTTTCCACTGACCACCAATGTAATGGGGGCATTCTTCCCGCTGACCACCAATGTAAAGGGGTCATTCTTCCCACTGACCACCAAGGTAAAGGGGGCATTCATCAAAGTAATGTGGACGTTCTCCTATTGGACCCCTAATGTAATGGGAGGTAGTCTCATTAACCCCCGATATAAGGGATAGCTTATCCTTCCCACTGATCCCCAATGTAAGAGCCATTCTTTCCCACTGACCCCAAATGTTAGAGCCATTCTTTCTCACTGACCCCCAATGTTAGAGCCATTCTTTCTCACTGACCCCCAATAAATTGGTTTTAGCATGTGTCCCCCCCAGACCTGACAACTATTTTAAGGGTTTGAGAAATCCCCATCTAACAATACAAGCCTATCATGAGACATTGAACTACTTTGCTGTTAAATATCTGCAGCCTTTCCATCCTTCGGTGACATAGAATTAGGATGATGATAATGAAGATGAAAGGCACCTCTAGGCTGACATCCAGGACCATCCCTGGAGATGGGCTCCATTACCTTCTCTGGTGGCCGGCACTAGGTGCTCAGTGCTGGCTGGTGGGATGCACAGGTCATTGTCCTGGGGGAAGCGGCTGCAGTCCAGCATGTCCGGCCAGGGGAAGCCGAAGGCAGACATGACGGGGGCACAGCTGTCCTTCACCTGCTCACACAGCGAGCGGCACGGCTTGATGGTCTCATCCAGGTCATCAATACAGACGGGGGCGAAGAGGGAGCACAGGAACTTCTTGGTGTCCCGGTGGCACTGCTTCTGGATCAGAGGGATCCAGGAGGAGGCTTGTTGCAGCACCTCCTTCATGGTCTCATGCCCCAGCAGGTTGGGCAGCCTCATGTTCGGGTACTCAATGTCATGGCACAGCAGTAAGGTGGCAGGGATGGGTTTGCAGTTGCTCCTCTTGTAAGAGAACTCGGGCTGCCCAAAGGGGAACAAAGCCTTCACCGAGTCCATACAGTCCGAGGCCAGCACGAGGAGGAGGAGGAGGATGGAGGAGGCTTTGAGGCACATGGTGGCTACAAGGCTGGAGCAGTGCAGAAGAGGCGAGCGCTGCTGTCCGCTGTGTGGGGTGGCCGCCTCTGACTACACACACATCGCACCACAGCCGACATCCACGGACACTGCGCTACACACACTTTTCTGCAGGTTTTATGCAAATACAGGCAGTGGGCGGGGCCTGCTGACAATGATCTGGGAAGGATTGGTCACATCGATGCCTGCCTGCTCCTCAGGGAATTGTCCTTTAAAAGAATCCTTACAGTGCTGTGTATAGAGCCATGGAGCAAGGCTGACAAAAGGCTGAGCGCAGCATTGTCTGAGAAGCCTGGGAGCTGCTGATTCTACACAAAAAACCCAAACACTGATAACTTATTTATTTATTACAGGTACTTGTATAGCTATCAGTACACAGCGCTTTACACATACACTGCTCCAAAAAAAATGAACACTTTTTAATCAGAGTAGAGCATCCCTCCTAGATTGTAAGCTCCAAGGAGCAGGGACCTCCTATCCCTCTTGTATTTAACTGTATTGTTGCTGTATTGTCTCCCTTTATATTGTAAAGCGCTGAGCAAACTGTTGGCGCTATTTAAATCCTATATAATAATAATAAATAATAATGTCAATTAAACTCCTGGGATATTGATCTGGTCAGTTAAGTAGCAGAGGGGGTTGTTAATCAGTTTCAGCTGCTTTGGTGTTATTGAAATTAACAACAGGTGCACTAGATGAGCAACAATGAGACCACTCCCAAAACAGGAATGGTTTTACAGGTGGAGAACGCTGACATTTTTTTTTCCCTACTCATCTTTTCTGACTGTTTTTCACTAGTTTTGCATTTGGCTAGGGTCAGTGTCACTACTGGTAGCATGAGGCGATACCTGGACCCTACAGACGTTGCACAGGCAGTCCAACTCCTCCGAGATGGCACATCAATACGTGCCATTGCCAGAAAGTCTCAAGGGCATGGAGAAGATTCCAGGAGACAGGCAGTTACTCTAGGAGAGATGGACAGGGCCATAGAAGGTCCTTAACTCATCAGCAGGACCGATATCTGCTCCTTTGTGCAAGGAGGAACAGGATGAGCACTGCCAGAGCCCTACAAAATGACCTCCAGCAGCCCACTGGTGTGAATGTCTCTGGCCAAACAATCAGAGACAGTCCTCATGAGAGTGGCCTGAGGGCCCAACGTCCTCTAGTGGACCCTGTGCTCACTGCCCGGCACCATAGAGCTCAATTGGTATTTACCATTGAACACCAGATTTGGCAGGTCCACCACTGGCATCCTGTGCTTTTCACAGATGAGAGCAGTTCACTCTGAGTGCATGTGACAGACGTGAAAGGGTCTGGAGAAGCCGTGGAGAACGTTATGTTGCCTGTAACATTGTTCGGCATGACCGTTTTGGTGGTGGGTCAGTGATGGTCTGGGGAGACATATCCATGGAGGGACGCATAGACCTGTACAGTCTAGACCAGTGATGGCGAACCCGTGGCACGCGTGCCACAGCCGGCACGCCGAGCCTTATCTGTGGGCACGCCAGGAGAATCCAGCGGCGCGCTGTCTCCCGGCTGTAGTGTGCGTGACAGCCGGTCCCAAGTGCGCATGCACAAGAAGCAGTGCTCTTTGTGCCATGGTAATAAGGTACCTGGGACACATGACAGATCCCAGAAGGACCAAAGCGCATGCGCAACTGGGCATCGGCTTGTGACGAGCGCCCACACTACAGAAGCCGGGAAGACAAGCGCGCGGCTGGATAAACCGGAACAGGTAAGATAAAAAAAAAAAACTCTGCGGAAGTAAGAGCCTGTCAAATTCAGGTATCCCTCCCCCCAAAGGTCAGCAGTCATCTCTGTACTGTCCAGTCTCTGGTCATCCCTGTGCCTGCAGTCTCTGGTCATCCCTGTGCTGTCCGCAGTCTCTGGTCATCCCTGTGCTGCGCATTTCTTGGTCATCCCTGTACTGTCCGCAGTCTCTGGTCATCTCCTGTACTGTCCGCAGTCTCTGGTCATCCCTGTGCTGTCCGCAGTCTCTGGTCATCCCTGTGCTGTTCGCAGTCTATGGTCATACCTGTGCTGTCCGCAGTCTCTGGTCATCCCTGTACTGTCCGCAGTCTCTGGTCATCCCTGTACTGTCCGCAGTGGTCATCTCCCTGTGCTGTCCGCAGTCTCTGGTCATCCCTGTACTGTGTCCGCAGTCTCTGGTCATCCCTGTGCTGTCCGCAGTCTCTGGTCATCTCCTGTCTGTGTCCGCAGTCTCTGGTCATCCCTGTACTGTGTCCGCAGTCTCTGGTCATCTCCTGTACTGTGTCCGCAGTCTTGGTCATCCCTGTACTGTGTCCGCAGTCTCTGGTCATCTCCTGTGTACTGTGTCCGCAGTCTCTGGTAATCCGTACTGTACCGCAGTCTCTGGTCATCCCTGTACTGTCCGCAGTCTCTGGTCATCCCTGTACTATGTCCGCAGTCTCTGGTCATCCCTGTACTGTCCGCAGTCTCTGGTCATCTCCTGTACTTTCCGCAGTCTATGGTCATCCCTGTACTGTCCGCAGTCTCTGGTCATCCCTGTACTGTGTCCGCAGTCTCTGGTCATCTCCTGTACTGTGTCCGCATGGTCACCTGTACTGTCCGCAGTCTTGGTCATCCCTGTACTGTGTCCGCAGTGGTCATCCCCTGTACTGTCCGCAGTCTCTGGTCATCTCTGTACTGTGTCCGCAGTCTCTGGTCATCTCCTGTACTGTGGTCCGCAGTCTCTGGTCATCTCCCTGTACTGTGTCCGCAGTCTCTGGTCATCCCTGTTTACTGTCCGCAGTCTCTGGTCATCCCTGTACTGTGTCTGCAGTCTCTGGTCATCCCTGTACTGTGTCCGCAGTCTCTGGTCATCCCTGTACTGTGTCCGCAGTCTCTGGTCATCCTGTACTGTCCGCAGTCTCTCTGGTCATCTCCTGTACTGTGTCCGCAGTCTCTGGTCATCCTGTACTGTGTCCGCAGTCTCTGGTCATCCCTGTACTGTGTCCGCAGCTGGTCATCCCTGTACTGTGTCCGCAGTCTCTGGTCATCCCTGTACTGTCCGCAGTCTCTGTCATCCCTGTACTGTGTCCGCAGTCTCTGGTCATCCCTGTACTGTGTCCGCAGTCTTGGTCATCCCTGTACTGTGTCCGCAGTCTCTGGTCATCCCTGTACTGTTAATTAGTTTGCACTACTGTACGAGGTAAAACCAAAAGCTCGATATTCAGGTTTCATTGCAGTGTTGGCACTTTGAAAGAAATCCTGGGTTGCAGTTTGGGCACTCGGGCTCAAAAATGCCCACTGGTCTAGACAATGGCACCCTGACTGCCATTAGGTATCAGGATGAAATCCTTGGACCATTGTCAGACCCTATGCTGGTGCAGTGGGTCCCTCCTGGTGCACACCAATGCCCAGCCTCATATGGCAAGAGTATGCAGGCAGTTCCTGGAGGATGAAGGAATTGATACCATTGAATGGCCCCCGCACTCGCCTGACCTAAATCCAATAGAACACCTTTGGGATATCATGCTTCAGTCCATCCGACGCTGCCAGGTTGCACTTCAGACTGTCCAGGAGCTCAGTGATGTCCTGGTCCTGATCTGGGAGGAAATACCCCAGGATACCATCCATCATCTCATTAGGCGCAGGCCCTGATGTTGTCAGGCATGCATAGAAGCACGTGGGGGCCATACAAACTACTGAGTACCATCTTGAATTGCTGCAATGAAATTTCAGCAAAATGGACTATCTAAGGTCCCTAACTCACATTCATACATACACATACTAGAGCCAATTTTAGACAGGAACCAATTAACCTACCAGCATGTCTTTGGAATGTGGGAGGAAACCCATGCAGGCACAAGGAGAACATGCAAACTCCAGGCAGGTGGTGCCATGGTTGGTATTTGAACTGCCAACCTTAGTACTGCCAGGTGGAAGTGCTTACCATTTAGCCAATATGCTGCCTAAATTAACCTAATTTATTAATGGTGGCCATACACCAACAATTTTATATACACTCCCCGGCCAATTTATTAGGTATACCTTGCTAGTGCCAAGAAAATATCCCCCACACCATTAGACCACCAACACCAGCCTGAACCATTGATACAAGTCAGGATGGATCCATGCTTTCATGTTGTTGATGCCAAATTAAATTTTTTGATTGACAGAACATTTGGTTTTCGACTCATCTATCTATCTTCCAAACCTTTCACCCTGAACCATGTGGTGTGAGGAAACCTACCTACCTTCTGGCTTTGCTTGATATTTAATATGAGAATCTACTTAAAACAGAGCTCCACCTCTGCTTGTTTTCACCCTCTCCCTCCACTGCCACATTTGACACTTTTGTTTGGGGGGGTTTTTCTGGTAGCGGGCACCTGGTTTTGACAGGTACCCGCACCCACTTCTGACACAGTTCACTGCAGCAAACTGAGCTTGAAGTTTGGCCCCCCTGCTTCCCCCTACAGTCTTCTGGTACACTTCACAGGTCCCAGAAGACTACGGGACCAATCACAAGGCACAGCATTACTCACGCATGCACAGTAGGAAACCTGCTGTGAAGCCACAAGGCTTCGTTTCTGATTTCCCTCACTGAAGATGCTGGTGCTGGGAACCCGGAGAACTAGCCTGGGCAACAACGGCATTGGATCCCTGGACAGGTAAGTGTCCTTATATTAAAAGTCAGCAGCTACAGTATTTGTGGGGGGGGGGGGCCAGGAACTCCTCTTTAACCTCTTAGCGCCGGCCGCATGCAAATGTGCGGCCTCCCGGTGTCTGGGCCTTGACACCAAGCGGCCGTACGTTTGCGTGCAATTAAGAAAAACGTGTGCTGAGAGCACGCGCCCTGCACGCTCCCAGCTCACATGTCCAGTACTCACGGAAAGGTCTCGATTTCCTCTTTCGATCAGGATCTTTCCCAATCATGTGACGGCATGTCACGGTGGTCACATGACCCTAAACCCCACCCCGCCTCCCGGCCTCTGAAACCCTTAAAGGGCCGGAAG